GCAATTGGTGCAGTTCTTGTCACTCAAAGCCCAGGTAACGTTTGCATCAATTTTTCAGAGCTTCGTAGGTCCTTTATTTAAAGTAACTGGTAGCTTTTGTTTGTGTTGGAAATAATAACTGAGTTCCTGCTCTGCGGTTGGCGGACAATGGACAGATAGACGGACTGACAAAGACTGATACATATACACGACCTGAAGGTAAAAGCACGCACGGGCAGGCAGCCAGGAAGATAAATGAACAAACAGTGGTGGGTTAACAGACACAAATTGAAAGACTTGTCGGACCTAATCACAGACACATAGAAATACGAACTGACAGAAATACAAACAGACAGACAGTAACAACCAAATAAACAGACAGAAGGATCTAATTGAACCGACAGGCATAGAGATTGACAGCCAGGTAGAAAACCGGCGGACGCGTAAACAAATAACAGAGAGAAAGAAGTACGGCAAGAAAGCACTTCGCACCTCAAGAATTTCTGGTTATATTATATCCATTACTGAAATGATACTTTAGCTTTGGCAGGGATGTCCCTTTCTTTCTTGCTTGAGTCATTGGATGAGGTCCAGTATGGCGTCAAAGTAAGTTCTGACGTTGAGAACTACATGACTTCAGTTGAGAGAGTAATGTGGTACACCACTTTAGAAGCTGAGCCAGGATATAGCACAAGAACCTGTCCTCCTTCGTCTTGGCCGCAGCGGGGTGACATAACCATCCGCAAGATGTCCCTGAGGTACATTAAAGGTGGTCCTCTAGTTTTGAAAGACATCAGTTTCTCCGTTGCTGACAAGGAAAAGATAGGTATTGCAGGCAGAACTGGAGCTGGCAAGTCATCCATTATTGCTGCACTTTTGCGCATGCCTAAACCAGAAGGAAAGGTTAGAATACGGTACTTCACACAACATATCCGAGGATTTTTATGACATGAAAACCGAACCTACTTTGCAACGTTCGGGACTAGTTTTGTGAAAACGCATGCGGGAAAGCGCCATTACTTAACATATTGCTGTAAACTCCAGTAAGCCATGAGCATCTAAAATATTTATGTACTGTAGTTGTGACGAGAGTACCGATCAGATCCGCTGTGAGAAAACTAAAACTGAAATACCAATACTAATTCAATTTTGGTGTTGTGTACTGATCTCATAATGAAAATCCAAACAATCGTTTAGTTAGTATCGTTTAACAATCGATAGAATTTTGAGTAAAAGGGCGGGATGCAAGTCACTTCAACAATTGGTTTTCCAAGAAGATTTTCAAAAGCAAAGAATTGAAAATTGTGTTTATTGAATTGGAATCTGTTATTTAAAAACTGTCCTTTGTTAAACAACAAATTGCGTGGGCGAAACATGAAACATCAAGGTATGAGACTTTTGAAAGTTTGAAACCACATTACCACTTTACATGATAAATATTCCTTACATGATTTGATAATATTAATTACGATATTATTTACTTTCCATTTGTTGGTCACAGGTGTTAATTGACGGTGTCGATATTGGAACTCTTAACCTTCAGACGGCGCGGCGTTCCATGGCTGTTATTGCGCAGGACCCGGTTCTTTTTGGAGGTAGTTTGAGGAGAAACGTTGACCCATTTTCAGAGCATACAGATCTGGATCTTTGGGCTGCTCTTGAAGACGTGCGGTTAAAAGCCATGGTGGAAAAGCTTCCTGGTCAGCTTCACTACCAGGTAAAGGAAGCAGGGTCCAACTTCAGTGTTGGTGAGAGGCAGCTGGTTTGTTTGGCTCGTGCATTGGTTCAGAAGTGCAAGATCATCGTCATGGATGAGGCCACTGCCAATGTAGATTTCAAGACAGACAACCTGATTCAGCAAGTCATTCGTCACAAGTTTAAAGACTCCACAGTACTGACGATTGCTCATCGTCTGAACACCGTTATGGACTATGACAAGGTGCTGATTCTTGATGGCGGACGAGTGGTGGAATTTGACAAACCTGAAATTTTGATACAGAATGGTGGAAAGTTCGCTGAACTGGTGAAGAATACCAATGAGGGGAAAATGTAAGCCAAAGGAGTAAAGAGTAAAAAGTCCAAATCATGGAAAATACACTGACGAAAGGTTAAGAGTTGTTTTCAAGTCTTATCGCTGGGACAAAAACGCCTTTTAGGAGCTTAATTGCAGCTGATTTGTTTTATTTTTTTTCTTAGCTTCTTTGCATAGCTGTAAACTGGTAATTGAAAAAAACAACTGTGCAGGTCTAAGCTGACGGATACAGGAATTTTTGTTGTCATCCTTGCTACACGCCCACAAATAGTCATCTCAATTATTCTTCTTTTGTTGTTATGGAATTAATCAAGATTGATTTTGTACGAAGTGAAAATAAAATTCGATTTTTTTTCCCCAAAAGTTCTGGGTTTGTTTCTTAATATGCTTTTTGGTAATTGTATGAAACCATTAAACACCAATACATGTTCTTCCCTTTCGCTCATATCACAAAGTTTGAGAGTCATCCCATATTGGCCTTAAGAAGTATGCTAGCCTAATACCACTCTTGCATTAAATGCTTAGCTTGTATAATTCGTTTAAGTGTTTCGAATCAACTATTCTGCAATTAGATCTTGTTTATATGCCTTGGAGACCGGCGGGGCAACATTCCGAAAATTTTAAAGAGGGAAAGCGAGATATCAGTAGGTTGCGGAACCTTCAAGTAAGCTGTCGATGTAAGAGTTGAAGCAAGAGATTAAACCAAAGAGTAGGGTAATTCGGCAAGGAAAAGGGCTCCTCTCTCTTTTTCCAACGATTTTGAAAACTTGATTTGAAATGATCTCGCAAATGTGTAGTGGTGAACCCTTAATGATAGGTTTCACAGTCACAAAAACTTGACAATGTATTCTTGATTGTGAGAACGCGTTTTTTCAATTAGTTTTTGACGATAGAACACACTTACCTTTTCCCCTTGTGTGCATAAATTAGCTTCTGGACTTTACAAGTGGGCAGCTTTCCGGTGGCTGCAGATGAATGGATTCTCAATGTTCCTGTCATATAAAAATTGCTCAGTAATGTGGATAAAAGCTAAGTATGCAGCTCATGAAAAATAATAATTTCTGATATGTACATAGTTTCTAATTTTGTGAAGTTTTAAATTCAGCAAAGGTCGTTTTCCAAGC